CCCCCCGGGACCCCGGCCCCACCTCCTCGTCCGTTTTCTGCTTCTTGGCCACCACTCCCGTTTTCAGGGCCAGCTTGTTGCCCCCCCGCCGCCGCCCCACCTGGGGAAGGGACACACCTGCCCCGTTACCGGGAGCGGGGCGGGGGGAGATCCGCCGGGACCCCCGGGGCTCCAGCCCGCCCCGAACCCCCCCGGTACCGGGGCTCGGGAGGGGAACAACCGGCGGCAGAGAGCGCGGAGCCACCGCCACGGGCGAGTCCGCCACCGAGGAGCTCCGGGAGGAGTCCCGGGAGCGGCCCCGGTGTCCCGGTTGCGGCCCCGGTCCGTGCCCCCCTCACGCGTTCGGGCCGGGCCGGCGGGAGCGGAGCCGGGAGGGGCCCGCGGGCCGCCGCGTCCTTACGAAGCTGAGCGCGCCGCCGCTCCTCTTCGCTCCGTCGGCCCCGCCGCGCTGCGGGCCGACCCCGGTACCGCCGCCGCCGCCGGAGGCCTCCGCGGCCGCCGCCGCCGCCTCGCGCTCCCGCTGCTGCTCCTCCGCCTCCATCTTGCGCTTGAAGAGCTCCAGGAAGCTGCCGTCGTTGGCGAACACGTTGACGCCGCCGCCCGGGCCCGGCGGGGGCGGCGAAGGCGCCTCCGGAGCCTCCCGGTCCTCGCCGCGCGCCGCCATCTTGTCCGCCGCCACCGCCGCCGGCGCCGCCCGATGACATCAGCGCGACCTCCGCTGCGCGGCGGCGGCGCCGCTTGGTGACGTCACGAGACCCCCGCCGGCGGGGCGGCGTTGCCCGGCAACGCGCCGGGCTCCCTCAGCTTCGCCCCGCCCCCTCTGCGAGGATTGACGGACGAGCTGACCAATGGGAAGCGAAAGAAGGGAGGGCGCGGCGGCGCGCCGGCCAATCAGCGCGCGGCGGGCGGCGGCGCGGGGAAGATGGCGGCGGCGGCGGGCGGGTGGACGGCCGAGGGCCCCGAGGAGTTCGAGGACGCGCCCGACGTGGAGCCGCTGGAGCCGACGCTGGCGAACATCATCGAGCAGCGCAGCCTCAAGTGGATCTTCGTGGGCGGCAAGGGCGGCGTGGGCAAAACCACCTGCAGGTGCGGCGGGGACGGCACCGGGAGCGGCACCGGGCGGGGGCAGCGGGACGGGACGGGAGCAACGGGGTGGGATGGAGGGATGGGGGTGGGATAACGGGATAACGGCACCGGGGAGCGGCCTCGGAGTGGCTGGGGGAGCACCGGGATCTGCGGGAACCGGGCTGGGATGGCGTGGGGGGGACACCCAGACACCTGGGGGGGGTCCCAGACACCTGAGGGGGGTCCCAGACACCTGAGGGGGGTCCCAGCAGCTGCAGCCTGGCCGTGCAGCTGTCCCGGGTGAGGGAGAGCGTGCTGATCATCTCCACCGACCCTGCCCACAACATCTCGGACGCCTTCGACCAGAAATTCTCCAAAGTCCCCACCAAGGTCACCGGATACGACAACCTCTTCGCCATGGTGGGTCTGGGGGCGGTCCCTGGGGGGGCTTAGAGGGTCCTGGAGGCTCTCAGAGAGGTCTGCGAGGGTCCGAGGGGGTCCTTGGGGGGCCCTGGAGGGTCCCAGGGATGTTCTGGAGGGGTCTGGGGTGTCCCAGGGAGGTTCTGGGGGCTCCCAAGGGGGTCCTGGGGTTCCCAAGGGGGTCCTGGAAGGTCCCAGGGGGGTCCCAGGGGGGTCCTGGGGTTCCTGAGGGGGTCCTGGAAGGTCCCAGGGGGGTCCCAGGGGGGTCCTGGGGTTCCTGAGGGGGTCCTGGAAGGTCCCAGGGGGGTCCCAGGGGGGTCCTGGGGTTCCCAAGGGGGTCCTGGAAGGTCCCAGGGGGGTCCCAAGGGATCTCTGGAGGGTCTCAGTGGGGGTCTTGGAAGGTCCCAAGGGGGTCAGGGGGGTCCTGGGGTTCCTGAGGGGGTCTTGGAAGGTCTCAGGGGGGTCCCAAGGGGGCCCTGGAGGGTCCCAGGGGGGTCTGGGGTTCCCAAGAGGGTCCTGGAAGGTCCCAGGGGGTTCTCAGGGTGGTCCCTGGGAGGATCTGGAGGGTCCCAGGGGGGTCCCAGGAGGGTCCTGGGGTTCCTGAGGGGGTCTTGGAGGGTCCCAGGGGGTCCCAAGGGGTCTCTGGAGGGTCTCAGGGTGGTCCTGGGGGTCCCAGGGGATCCCAAGGGGGTCCTGGTCACTTAGGAGACACTTCCTATTTTGTGTTTAATTGGGGAGCTCTTGCTCCTGATAAAAAACTTCACAATTATTTATTTTGTTCTTTCCTTTTTCTGGTAAATTGTTTAGTAAATTAAGTAATAAATTATTTTCTAATAAATTATCTAGTAAATATATTTAAATGTATTTTATTTTCTGTCCAATAGGGCAGCTGTTGCTCCTAGTAAAAAACCTCACAAAATCTATTATTTTATTCTTTCAATTTTTTTATAAATTATTTAGGTGAGACTTTTTGCTTTCTGTTTAATTGGGCAGCTGTTCCTCCTAGTAAAAGACCTCACAAAATCAATTATTTTATTCTTTTAATTGTTTTATAAATTATTTAAGTGAGACTTTTTTGTTTCTGTCCACGTGTCTATCCTTAGATTTGAGACGAAATCCCCAAGATCCTACTTGCTGTCTTTTCACCAAATTTACAACAGAAACTTTTTGGGTTCTTTTTAACCTTTTTAAGGTTAAAGGTTAAAAGTTTAAGGTTATTTTTAAGGAAATAAATGATAATTTCATCCCTCCATCCACCCCGAGCACGTTCCCACAGCCAAACCCCGTGGCTGCAGCTCGCCTCCGAGGCCTTTCCCAGCTTTCCCAAACCCCTCAGAATTCCAGGAACTCCCACAGGCCGGGTGCTGAGCCCCCTCCCCACCCTGCCGCCCCCCTCCCCAGGAGATCGACCCCAGCCTGGGCGTGGCCGAGCTGCCGGACGAGTTCTTTGAGGAGGACAACGTGCTCAGCATGGGCAAGAAGATGATGCAGGAGGCCATGAGCGCCTTCCCCGGCATCGACGAGGCCATGAGCTACGCCGAGGTCATGAGGTGGGGAGGGGGAGCCGGGGGGCGAGGGGGCGTTTAGGGCAGGCTCCTGGGCCGGGGGAGGGCTCCTGGGGGTGTGGGGTGGGATTTGGGGG